ATGTTTTTATATGTTGCTTTATTTAGTTTGCTACTATTTTGTTGAGGAGTTTTACATCTACATTCATAAGGACTACTGTTCTATAATTTTCTTATCTTGCAATGTCTTTGTCTACTTTTGATTTCAAGGTAATATTTGCCACATAGAATAAGTTGGGAAGTGTTCCTTTCTCTTATTTTTTGAAACAATATGTGAAAGATTCGCTTTAATTATTCATTAAATGTTTGGTAGAATTGACCAGCAAAGCCATCTGGGCCTGGGCTTTACTTTTTGGGAAGTTTTTAATTATGAATTTGAGCTCTTTAGTTGTCCCTCTCAGATTTTCTATTAATCTTTCTTCCTGAGTTAGTGTCGATAATTTGTAACATTCTAGGAATTGGTCAATTTCATCTATGTGATTTAATTTGTTGGCATATAATTGTCCATAGTATTCCTTTATATTCTTGGTTATTTCTCTAAAGTCAATAGTAATGCCCCCTTTTTCATTCCTGATATTAGTAATTTGAGTCTTTTCTCTTTTTTTCTTGGTCACTCTAGCTAAATAAAGGCTTATCAAATTTTTTGGATGTTTTTAAAAGAACAACTTCTGGTTTTAATTTTATCTATTCTTTCTCTATTATTTATTTCATTTATATCCAGTGTAGTCTTTATTGTTTCTTTCATTTTGATTTCTTTGGGATTTAGACTTCTTTTTTCTAGTTTCTTAAGGTAGAAGATTAGGTTACTGATTTGCAATCTTTCTTCTTTTGTAAGTGATTATAAATTTCTCTCAGTATCGTTTTACCTAAATCTCATATATTTTATGTTGTTTTAATTCATCTCAAGGTATTTTTCTAATTTCCCTTGTGATTTCTCCTTTGACCCATTAGTTATATAGGAGTGTGCTGTTTAATCTTTGCATATTTGTGAATTTTCCAAATTTCCTTTTGTTAATGATTTCTAATTTCATTTCATTGTTGTAAGAGGTGATATTTCATGATTTTAATCCCTTTAAATTCAATAAGTCTTGCCTTATGGCCTAATATATGGTCTGTCATGCAGAATGTTTCATGTGCACTTAAAAAGAATACATTCTTTTGCTGTTAAGAGTATTCTAAACATGTCTGCTAGATCTAGTTGGTTTATAGCAGGGGTCCTCAAACTTTTTAAACAGGGGGCCAGTTCACTATCCCTCAGACCATTGGAGGGCCAGACTATAGTTTAAAAAATATTATGAACAAATTCCTACGCACACTGCACATATCTTATTTTGAAGTAAAAAAACAAATGGGCAAAAACACCCGCATGTGGCCCGCAGGCCATAGTTTGAGGACGCCTGGTTTATAGTATAGTTCAGGTCTTTTATTTCCTTAATGACCTTTTACATACTTGTTCTATCCATTTTTGAAAGTGGGGTATTGAAATTTCCAATTATCATTGTTGAATTATCTATTTCTACTTTCATTTCTGTCAGTTTTCATTTCATCTATTTTTGGGCCCTGTTAAGTGCATATATTTATAATTGTTATCCTATTGATAAATTCACCCTTTTATCATTATAAGATTTTCCTTTTAGTTTCTAGTAACATTTTTATTGTCTTAATGCTTATTTTGTCTGGTATTAGTATTGTCATCTAGCTCTCTTATGGTTATTTGTGTATGTATCTTTTTACTTTCAACCTACTTGAATCTTTTAATCTGAAGTGTGTCTCCTGTAGATAGAATACAGTTGGATTTTGTTTTTGTACATATCTGACAATCTCTCCCTTTTGATTGGATTTGTAAGCAAACTTAATGGTATTATTAATATGGTAGATTTGTACCTGCCATTTTGCATTTTATATGTCTCAAGTGTCCTTTCTAACTCCTTTCTTTACTGTCTTCTTTGTTTTCGGTGGATGTTTTCTAGTGTATCATTTTAATTCCATTAATATATGTTTTTTTTGAGACACAGTCTTACTCTGTCACCTGGGCTAGAGTGCAGTGACATCATTATAGCTTGGTGCAACCTCAAACTCCTGGACTCAAGCAATCCTCCTGCTTTGGCCTCCTGAGTAGCTGGGACCACATGGCACAATGGCTGGCTAATTTTTCTATTTTTAGTAGATATGGGGTTTCACTCTTACTCAGGCTGGTCTCAAACTCCTGACCTCAAGCGATCCTCCTGTCTTGGCCTCTCAGAGTGCTGGGATTACAGATGTAAGCCACGGCACCTGGCCTAATTCCTTCAATAATTTTAAAATTAAAATTTGGGGTTATTTTCTGTAGGGTTTATCATATACAAATTAACTTACCAGTATCTACTTTAGATATATACTAACTTTGTTCCAGTGAAATATCAAAATTTTATTCCCATATAGCTCCATTCCCTCCCCTTTTTGTGGGAGTATTGCTGTACTTATTGTGTATATACAAACTCAACAATACATTGTTACAATTATTATCTTATATACTCTTATGTATTTTAAAGATGTTGAGAAAAAAAGAATTGCAAGTATATATTCACAGCTGTTGTTATATTATCCTAACTATTTCTGGTTCTTTTAATTTCTTAGTGTGGATTTACTATCTGGTATCATTTTCTTACTCCAATACATCTTTTTCCTACCTACCTTCTTTGTGCTGATACCATCAAATATATTACATTTCTATATGTGATGGGCTCAACAATACAATTATATACATATTGCTTTATGCAACTGTTTTTCAAATAAGAGAAAAAAGGAGAAAAAAATGCAGCTACATTGACTTTTGTATTAAATAATTGCCTACACAATTACCTTTGCTGGTATTGTTTGTTTTTGTATGGATTTGAATTACTGTCTGTTGTCAGGTGCTTTCAGCCTATAGAACTTGCTTTAGTATTTGTTATAAGGCAGGTCTGCTACCAACAAATTCTCTGCTTTTCTTTATCTTGAAATGTCTTTATTTTGTTTTCACTTTTAAAATATAGTTTTACTGGATTAAAGATTCACAGTTGACAGTGTTATATTTCAGCACACTGAATATGCTGTCCCACTGCCTTCTGGCCTCCATTGTTTCTTTACTTTTCATTCATTCATTCATTCATTCATTCATTCATTTATTTATTTATTTATTTATTTTTTGAGGCAGGGTCTCTCTCTGTCACCCAGGCTGGAGTGCAGTGTGTTACACAGAGTTCACTGCAACATGAAACTCCCAGGCTCAAGTGATCCTCCTGCCTCAACCTCCAGAGTAGCTGGGACTTCTGGCATGCGCCACCATGCCCAGCTAATTTTTCTATATATATTTTAGTTGGCCAATTAATTTCTTTCTACTTTTTTAGTAGAGATGGGGTCTCACTCTTGCTCAGACTGGTTTTGAACTCCTGACCTTGAGCGATCCTCCCACCTCGGCCTCCCAGAGTGCTAGCGTGCTCCAGGCTTAAGCCTTCTCTGTTTATTTTCACTTTAAAAATTATTTTCCTATCCCAAGGTCAGTTAAATCATTGTTCAGTTTTTATTCTGCCTTTTATCTTTTATTTTTACATTTATCTCTTTAATCAATCCATTTGGAATTTATGTGAGGCATGGCTCTAAATGCATATGTTTTCTCCCCAAATGCTAATCTAATTCTCTAAACAATAATTATTTTAAAAATTCATCTCTGCCTCATTGATTTATGATGCTTCCCTTTGCATATTTTTTGGATGCCACTAAAGATATATTTTGTCTGTATTACTGAGATGCTACTGCCCTCAGGTTAGTAATACAAAACTATCACATGATCTTTATTTAAAAGGTCTTCGACTAAGTTCTGGAGAATTTTCATAGGCAAATTCTTCTGTGTGGGCTGGATCAGTAAACACGTCAATAAAATCTATTTCCAGGAAGAACGGACCATTCACTTTATCAGCCAAGGTGAATCCTATAGAAAAGACCTTGTCAAGCAGAAGATGACACTGAACATCCTGGATTCTTCCTTGATTTGCTAAAAAAAAAACTTGGAGAAATATAAAAAAGATATCTCCTATATCTGTGTCTATATACACACACACACATATGTGATAAGAAACTTCTGTAATCATCAAGAAAAAGACAAGTAACCTAATAGCCACTGTGAAAGATAAATAAGCACTTCAGAGAATGAGGAAACTCAAGTGGCTAATAAGCATAAAAACAGAAGACTAACCTCATCTGTAAGCAAATAAGTGCAAATTAAAACACACTACTTGAAATCCACTGAATTGGCAAAAATTAAGAAGTTGTATAATATTAGCACTGGGAATATGAACAAATAGAAACACTTAAGTATTGTTTATAGGAATATAAATTAGTACAGCTATAACCTAGAGCAACTTGGCAATAGTGAAAAATATACATGCTATTTTACAGGATCCAGGAATTCTGCTCCTTGGCTTATACTTCAGATAAACTGACACAGGAACACAGAGAGACAGAAACATCTATGAAGATATTCCCCACAGCACTGTTTGTAATATCAAAGAACTGGAAATAACTATCCATTAATCAATAAATAAAATATTATGATATTAGTATTTGATGAAACATAATCCAGCAGTCAAAAAGAATGAACCATATATGAATACTGATAGGTCTCAAAAATAACATTTAGTGACAAAAAAGTAAGAAACAAAATGAGGTATACAGCACAATACATTTCAAGTCAAAAAAGGAAAAAATATCTACATATATAAAAAATACTAGAGACTGTGCATGGGTGCACATGTCTAAATAAATATATGGAAGATAGCTTGGAAGGATACACATCAAATACCTAAAAGTGGATGACTATGGGTGGAAAGAAGGGAACTGGATCAGGAATGAGTAGTGAAGTAGACAAAAACTAAAGTAAAACCAAACATAAAAGATCAAAACTGAGGAGACTAACCTAACAATCATTTTCAGTGTTTCTGAAGTCTAAGATGAACATAAAACAAAAATATTCCCACCCTGAAATATCATAAAAACACTTGCTTAAAGAAATGTCAAAAAAGTAAAAGAGAAAAGAACTGGCTGCCTCTCTGTCACATGGCTTACCGTAGTACACAGCACATGAGCAGCAGATGGGTGGGGACATTGGCTGGATTGAGCATACTGGGTGTGTCTGACTTCATACAGGCCAGGAAGGCCCGCATCCTTCTGTTCTTGTCCTCAACTGCTTTGCCTAGCCAGAGCTTCTTGAGGTTTGGGCAAGTCCATTCTCGAAATGTCAGTGCAGACACCAGCTCAGGGGTTTGAGGTGACTTCCCTTTATAGGCAGACCACTCTTTAAGGATCACTGAAGGAACTAGAAAACAGAAATTGAGGGAAAATAGGCTCTAGAGCATTTCTACAGCTGGCCATAATTTTCAATATTCATTGCATTTCAACATCTTTTAATTTTTTTGTTACTATAATTTTTATTATTATCAATAACAGCAGGAATAGTAAGCATTTATTAGGGGCTTGATGTGTTAAGTACTCTACATATATTAACTCATTTAATTCTCATAAAAATTTGAGACAGAAGTATTATGACTACATTATCACAAAACATAGAGGTCATTTTGTAGATAAAGAAATCAAGGCCCAATGTCACACAGTTTTTAATTACTTTGAAACTTATTTCTTAAGTTGATGTTCTAGGCTAGGCAAGGAAAGAAGTCCAAGGAAAAATTACTTGACTATCTGGCTTCATAATAGACAATAAGACATCCCAAAGACATCCCAAAAGAAATTACACAAAACTCTCAAAAAACCAACATCTTTTAGATTTACAAAGGTGTAGCAGACCAGGAAAACATGGCTTCTATATACTTCTAATACATCTCAGCCTCTTAAGCTATGGCCTCTTTTATTTGAGACATCTAGCACTTACTCAATCACCCAAGCTAGAGACTTAAGAGTCATCCTAGAGTTCTCTCTCCCCTCCACCTCCTACACAGCTGGATATCACTGACATCCTGCTGATTCTACCTCCTTATCATCCCCTCTATCTGTTCCCTTTTCTCCAGCACAACAAATACTCTAGTGGCTCAAATATCATCTTTCACCGGACAAAAGTCTCCAGACTATTTGTTACTACTTTTCATCCTGTTTGCTCCACCTTACACCCATGCTCCACAACCACTAGAATATTGTTTTGGTTTTTATTGAGACAGAGTCTCACTCTGCTGCCCAGGATGGAGTGCCTGGGGAGATGGGCTCAGTGCTCAGGCTGGTCTCAAACTTCTGAGCTTGAGCAATCCTCCCGCCTGGGCCTCCCAGAGTGCTAGGATTACAGATGTGAGCCACACCGGCCTGTTTTTTTTTGTTTGTTTGTTTTTTTAACTTTTTGGCTGGGCCTGTTTTTTTTTTTTTTTTTCTTTTAACTTTTTGGCCTCTTCTATTTTCTGGAAAAGACTATGTAGAACTGATGTTAATTCTTTGTTAAATATTTGGTAAAACCCTCCGGTGAAACCATCTGAGCAACATTTTTTTTGGAAAGTTCTTAAATTTCATTAATATTTATGTTGGGTGAGATAGTAATTTCTGTATTTTGAGAAATTGGTCTATTTCATCTAAGTTGTCAAATTTATGTGTGTAGAATTATTTATATTATTCCCATATAATTCTCTGAATGTTTGTAGGTTTTGTGGTGATATCCTGCTTCATTCTCTCGTTCATTTAAATTTGGGTCTTCTGGCTTTTTCTTTGCAGTCTTGCTAGAAGTTTGTCAATTATATTTTTCTTTTCATAGAACAATATTTTTGTTTAATTGATTTTCTTTACTGTTTTTCTGTTTTCAATTTCATTGATTTCTGCTCTTTATTATTTCCTCCCTTTGGTTTACTTTGGGTTTAGTTTTCTACTCCTCCTCTTGTTTCTTGAGCTGAAAGTTTAGATTATTGATTAGAGACTTCTTTTCTAATGTGAGCACTTAATACTATTAATTTCTCTCTTAGCAATGATTTAGTGCCATCCCACAAATTTTAATATCTTTTTATTTTCATTTAGTTCAATATATTTCTTTCTTTCCCTTGAGACTTCATCTTGGATCCATGAATTATATAGATATGCTTTGTTATTTTCCAAGTATTTATAGATTTTCTTGTTATCTTTCTGTTATTGATTTCTAGTTTGATTCCACAGTGGAATGAAAATATACCCTGTATGTTTTAAATTCTTTACATTTTTTAAAGTTTTTCATTGAGATGGGGTCTTGCTCATTGCCCAGACTGGTCTCAAACTCCTGGGCACAAGTGACTCTCCCTATTCAGTGTCCTCAGCGTCCTCAGTAGTTTCTTAGGCACATACCAACCACCACAGCTGACCCAATTCTTTTAAATTTACTGAGGTTGGTTTCATGGTCAAGGATATGATCTATCATAGTATATACTCTGTGAATGCATGAAAAGAATATGTATTGTGCTTTTATTCTGTGTTCTATAAGAGTCGATTGGATCCTTTTCACTGATGGTGTTGAGTTCCTCTATATCCTTACTTTCTGTCTAGTTGTCTTATAATTAATAAGGAGGTTGAAGTCTCTAACTATAATTTTGAGTTTGTCTATTTATCCTTTCAGTTCTATTAATTATTGTATCACATATTTTGTGGCTCTGTTATTTGGTGCTACATATTTAGGATTGCTCTATCTTTTTGGTGGATTCACCTTTTTACCACTGTATAATGTCTTTCTCTGCCTCTGGCAATTTTTCTTGCTCAGAATTGCAGCTTTCTTTTGATTAATGTTTGCATGGTATATCATCCTCCATCCTCTTACTTTCAACTTATATATATCCTTCATATTTGAAGTAAGTTTTTATAGACAGCACATAGATGGTTTATGTTTTTATCTAGTCTGCCAATCTCTACATTTTAATTTGGTATAGTCATACTTCTTACATGAATTAAGTCGGTCATTTTATTTTTGTTTCTGTTAGTTCTCTCTGCTTTTCATTTCTCTGCTTTCTAGTTCTTCCCTTCCTGTGATTACTTGAATTAATTTTTCCTTTTTTTTTTTTTTTTTGAGACAGTCTCTCACTCTGTCGCCCTAGGTAGATTGCAGTGGTGTCATCTTAGCTCACTGCAACCTCCAACTCTTGGGCTCAAGTGGTCCTCCTACCTCAGCCTCCCAAGTAGCTGGGACTACAGGCATGTGCCACTATACCTAGCTAATTTTTCTATTTTTCCTAGAGACAGGGTCTCACTCTTGCTCAGGTTGGTCTCAACTCCTGAGCTCAAGCAATCCTTCTGCCTTGGCCTCCCAGGGTTCTAGGATTATAGGCGTGAGCCACTGAGCCTGGCTGAACTAATTTTTGAATTGCATTTTGATTTATTTATAGCATTTTTGAGTATATCTGTGTACTTTTTTCAGTGCATGTTCTAGGTATTAAATTATATATACATAGATTATCACAGTCTACTGGTGTTGACATTTTATCAAGTAAAGCATAGAAACCTGACCTATGCTCTGAGTCTTTACTCTCTTCCATTTATGATTATCTTTATTTTTATTTTTTTTGAGACGGAGTCTCACTCTATTGCCCGGGCTAGAGTGCCCTGGCGTCAGCCTAGCACAGAGCAACCTCAAACTCCTGGGCTCAAGCGATCCTCCTGCCTCAGCCTCACGAGTAGCTGGGACTACAGGCATGCGCCACCATGCCAGGCTAATTTTTTCTATATATTTTAGTTGGCCAATTAATTTTCTTTCTATTTTTAGTAGAGATGGGGTCTCGCTCTTGCTCAGGCTGGTTTCGAACTCCTGACCTTGAGCAATCCGCCTGCCTCAGCCTCCCAGAGTGCTAGGATTACAGGCGTGAGCCGTAGCGCCCAGCCTATAATTGTCTTTAAATATTTTTGCTACATAGATAGAGAACCACATTAAACAATGTTATAATTTTTGCTTCAATGTGAAATATAATCTAGAATACTCAAGAGAAAAAGGCAAGTCTATCATATTTATCCCTACTTTTGTTCTTTCCACTGTTTTTTCTTCCCTCCTAATGTTCCAAGATTCCCTCTTTTATCATTTCCTTTCTGTGTAGAGAACTACCTTCAGCCATTCTTCTTCTTTTTTTTTTTTTTTGAGACAGAGTCTCACTCTGTTGCCCGGGCTAGAGTGCCCTGGCATCAGCCTAGCTCACAGCAACCTCAAACTCCTGGGCTCAAGCAATTCTTCTGTCTCAGCCTCCCAAGTAGCTGGAACTACAGGCATGTGCCACCATGCTCGGCTAATTTTTTCTATGTATTTTTAGTTGGCCAATTAATTTCTTTCTATTTTTAGTAGAGACGGAGTCTGGCTCTTGCTCAGGCTGGTTTTGAACTCCGACCTTGAGCAATCTGCCTGCCTCGGCCTCCCAGAGTGCTAGGATTATAGGTGTGAGCCACTGCGCCCAGCCTTCATCCATTCTTTTCAGGTAGGTCTGTTTATGAAAAATTATCCTGGTTTTTTTCACCTGAAAACGTTTTGATGTCCCCTTCATTACTGGAGGATACTTTTGTTTGATATAGAATTCTGAGTTTACAATTCTTTTCCTTTAGCACTTGAAAATTCATGCTACTTCCTTATGAAATCCGTGGCTTATGATGACATATCAGATGTTATTTCTATTATTTTCCCCTTACAGGTAATACATCATTTCTGCCTGGCCGCTTTCAATAAATTTTTTTTTATCATTACATTTGGAAAGTTTGATCATGATGTATCTTAGCATGGATTTCTTTGGGTTTATAATTTACTCAGCTTCTTAAATCTATAGTTATATATTTTTATCAAATTTGGGGATATTTCAGCCAGCCAAAGTATTATTTTTTAGAATACTTTTGCAGTTCTACCCTCTTTCTCCTTCCTTCTGAGATTCTGATGACACAAACATTAGGTCTTTTGTTATAGTCCTACAGGTCTCTTCATATTTTTTTTTCCCAGTCTATTTTCTCTGTTATTCAGAGTAGGTATTTCTACTGTTCTGCCTTCAAGTTTACTGATTCTTTCCACTACTGTCTCCATTTAGCCATTTAACCCATCCGTTGAGAATTTTATTTTGGTTATTATATTTTTGTTCTTAATTTCCATTTGGTTTCTCTTTATATCTTCTATTTCTTTGCTGAAACTTTCTATTTTTAATTGTTTCAAGCACATTTGTAATTATTTGTCAAAGCATCTTTATGATGGCTGTTTTGAAATTCTTGTCAGATAATTCCAACTTCTTTTTTTTTTTTTTTTTTTTTTGAGACAGAGTCTCACTTTGTTGCCCAGGCTAGAGTGAGTGCCGTGGCGTCAGCCTGGCTCACAGCAACCTCAATCTCCTGGGCTCAGCGATCCTACTGCCTCAGCCTCCCGAGTAGCTGGGACTACAGGCATGCGCCACCATGCCCGGCTAATGTTTTGTATATATATATATTTTAGTTGGTCAATTAATTTTTTTCTATTTTTGGTAGAGACGGGGTCTCGCTCAGGCTGGTTTCGAACTCCTGACCTTGAGCGATCCGCCCGCCTCAGCCTCCCAAAGTGCTAGGATTACAGGCGTGAGCCACCGCGCCCGGCAATTCCAACTTCTATCATGTCTGTGTTCATTTTATTTCCTCAGTCAGTTTGAGATCTAAATTTGAAATCTTTCCGGTTCTTGGTATGGTAAGGGATTTTCAACTGAAACCTAGACATATGGGGTATTATTTTAAAAGACTCTGGATCTTATTTAAATCTTGTGTTTTAGCAGGCCTTTTCTGACATCACTCTAGGAGGTGAAGGGGACACTGTTTCATTACTACTAGGTGGGAGTCTTGGCTCCCTACTTGACCTTGTATGACACCTCCCCAGCAGGAATAGGTGGGGTATGTCATTACAGCCTAGTAAGGGTCGAAGTATTCTTCAAAGGGTTGAAGGTTCTTCATTTGGTCTTTGCTGGTGGGGGTGGGTTAGAACATAGTTTTTCTATGGTCTTTGGCTAGAGTGCAGCGGTTATTATGTAAAAATGTTCTGTGTTGCTAGGTTGTTCCATTTTGGTCCTCTGGGCAGAGAAAGCAGGCTTTTTCGGGGTAGGGGGGCTCTTTTTGGTCTGCTGCTGTTGGCATTTCTGGGCTTGTCCCACACCCAGAATGGGATATGTGAGGCAAAAGAAAACCCAGGTAACTCACTATTGTATCACTGTGACACTCCTTGGGTCCCAAGATGCTCAGCCAGTCTGTCTTCTAGAGTGTCTTGTATTGTTTAATATGTAAGTCCTGGGCTTTTAGTTGTACTTGGGCAAGAGGAATAGGGAAAAGTACATCTAATCTACTCCATCTTCCCAGAAAGAGAAATCTAGAGTATTGTTTTGAACACGCTAATTTGATCACATCACTCTGCAGCTTAAAACACCTCAATGGCTCCAACTACATGCAGCAAGTCCCCAACCTTTTTGGCACCAGGGACCAGTTTCATGGAAGACAATTTTTCCACAGAAGTGGGGGAGGGGCAGGGGAGGTAGAGCTCAGGTGGTGACAGGAGCAATGAAGGGAGGTTATAAATACAGATGAAACTTCATTTGCTGACCTATGGCTCACCTCCTGCTGTGTGACCCCCTTCCTAAGTTTCATGGAAGACAATTTTTCCATGGACTGGGTGGACAGTGAGAAGGGTGCATGGGGTAGCTGCAGGGAAACTCTGCTGCCGGGTCCTTAACAGGTCGTGGACTGTTACTGGGGATGGTGGACTGCAGACTATAGGATCAAATATCAAAACAAAAACCTCATGAAAGACAAGAGACTGTGGCAGATACACCTCTACTTTCCCAAAGCCCACTATGATTATTACAAGTGATAGTCACTCTGAATGCTTGGTAAGTGCAGAATTGGGGCTTAAGTTAATGTATTTCCCATACCAGTATGTAATCCGGTGAATGATGCATTTTCTTAAAGACTGTTCCACAGCCACAAAGTATAATGTGTTTACAAAGACATTTTTGCTCTGTGTCATGTGTTGACAGAACTGTCAAATCTAGAACTACACTTACCTTCTACAGGCAGCCGCCTCCGTATGGCCAGGCGTTCCATTTTCCGCTGTGTCTCTGCCAGACTAAAAAGGACTCCATATACATATTGACGAGCTGACCGGAACAAGAGAGCAGCTGGAGGCAGCTCCATGTTACACTCATCCTCAATACATACAGGGATCTTAATTTCACCCTAACAAAAGAACGGTCCAGGGAAAGGAGAAAATGAGTTATCTTAAGGTTTCGAACTGAGCTCAGAAGAACCAGTAATAAACTGTAGCCTAGCTACTAAATTGTCTATTTACATTCAGACAGAGTTTCAGGCTAAAAAGAAACTGTAGGCCGGGCTACAGTTTGAATAAAGCTCCTGTTAGCATTTTTTTTTTTTTTTTTTGAGACAGAGTCTCGCTTTGTTGCCCAGGCTAGAGTGAGTGCCATGGCGTCAGCCTAGCTCACAGCAACCTCAAACTCCTGGGCTCCAGCGATCCTTCTGCCTCAGCCTCCCGAGTAGCTGGGACTACAGGCATGCGCCACCATGCCCAGCTAATTTTTTACATATATATATCAGTTGGCCAATTAATTTCTTTCTATTTATAGTAGAGACGGGGTCTCGCTCTTGCTCAGGCTGGTTTTGAACTCCTGACCTTGAGCAATCCGCCCGCCTCGGCCTCCCAAGAGCTAGGATTACAGGCGTGAGCCACCGCGCCCGGCCAGCATTCTTGTTCATATCTTTTGGTAGATATATGCACTCATTTCTCTTGGGGAAATACTTAGAAGTAGGATTGCTATACTATATGGTGAGTGTATGTTTAATTTTATAAGAAACTGCCAAACTGTTTTCCAAACTGTACCAATATATACTCCCACCAGCACTGTATTGGAATTCTAGTTATTCCATATCTTTGCCAGTGTTTGTCATTGATAATCTTTTATTTCAGCCATTCTGGTGGACACAGAGTAGTGTCACATTGTGGTTTTATATATATTTACATGCTTTTGGTTTTAACATTCATATCTTTTGAACTAATAGTTTAATTTTTATGATATTTTCCTAAGACCATAATCTGAAAATCCAGAAAAAAGTTATATAACAATATATGCACTTTACTGTATAACTTATAATAGTTACATATGAGAAATAACCTAACTGGATATTAAGGAAATGATTACATAATATATGATATATTCATAGTGATAAAATATGCAGCCATTCAAAATTATTTAGATAGATCAGATTAGTATAATATAATGAAAGCAGGGTACTAAATTGTACATAGAGCATGGTATCAACTATAGAAAAATATGTGTAAATTATTCCTGCAGGTATAAGATAAAAAAAAGAAAAATATGTGTATTAAAATAGACCAGCTATACTTCAACAACAAAAATTATTTAAAATAATACTGTAGGCCGGGTGCGGTGGCTCACGCCTGTAATCCTAGCACTCTGGGAGGCCAAGGCTGGAGGATTGCTCAAGGTCAGGAGTTTGAAACTAGCCTGAGCAAGAGTGAGACCCCGTCTCTACTAAAAATCGATAGAAATTAATTGGTCGACTAAAAATATATATATAGAAAAAAATAGCCGGGCATGGTGGTCCATGCCTGTAGTCCCAGCTACTTGGGAGGCTGAGACAAAAGGATTGCTTGAACTCAGGAATTTGAGGTTGCTGTGAGCTAGGCTGACACCACAGCAGAGTGAGACTCTGTCTCAAAAAGAAAAAAGAAACTGTAATGAGCCCAGCTGATCATAGCCAATTTATAAGCTATATTCCATTTTTAAAGTCTCAACTAAGCCAGGCGTGGTGGCTCATGTCTGTAATCCTAGCACTCTTGGAGATCAAGGCTGGAGGATTGCTTGAGCTCAGGAGCTTGAGACCAGCCTAAGCAAGAGTGAGATCCCATCTCTACTAAAAATAGAAAAATCAGCCAGGCGTGGTGGCACATACTTAGGGGCTTGAGGCAGGAGAATTGCTTGAGCCCCGGAGTTTGAGGTTGCTGTGAGCTAGGCTGAGGCGATGGCACTCTAGCTCAGGTGACAGAGCAAGACTCCATCTCCAAAAATAAATAAATAAATAAAGAGTCTCAACTAGGACTGACCAATGGGAAAAGTCTATGATAGACATTTTGCTGGGCGATGGATTTGTATGGTAAAACTGGAGGAAAGGAACAGTTCTGCAGAAGTAGAGGAAGAGATAAGGAGCAAGGGTATAAAGCCTCTTATGAGACTGTGTCCATCCCTAGAACCAGAGTCTAACAATTTGGTACATTATCTACTTCAAAATCTCACAATTACACTTCTCTTTGAGGGGCCTCATTTACTGCACAGTCCCATCTCCTGCTGTTTCCTTTTATTTCCCTTCAGAAACTAATGATCAAAATTTTCTCTGGTAACTTACAGTCCTAATAAGTATGAAGTACAGTGTTAAGAGCAGGGAGGTAGGTGCTGATGGGCTGCCTCACCTTAGTGAGGACATGATAGATATATGGGTACATAAGACCCCTCCGGTGTCTGTGTTCGGCAACCCGTAAGACTTCTGGAGCTACCGGAGGTAAGGGTGGAATGGTGATGTCCATGTGGTTCCTCGTAGACATAGACAGCAGAGATGGGATGTGGGGCTCAGCATCACCTAGGCTGGCTTCTGAAACTCCAGTATCAACCGGTTGTACCCAAGAACCCCTGTCACCATTGGGATCTTCCCATTCAGGCTGCTGCTTAAGTGCTTCTGTGGTATGACTAAAAAAATTAGGAAGACAGTGTAGAAAAGAAAAGGGAGGTTGATAAAGGCATTCCAACTCAGGATGTCCATTCTGGGCCCAAGAAATCTCATAAACCCTCTGAAGGTCAGGAAACTGGGTTAGCACTGGACCTATTACCTTTCCTCTCAGTGGCCATCACTGCCCTCCTGGCTTCTTTCACCTGACACAAACCAAAGCAATCAAAAGTCATGAGAATCACTTTGGATCATTTACACTTTGGAAGAGGTCATGTAGAGTCTGCTTATGTATTAAGAAAATATTTACAGTTACAACCACAAAGCAGCTCTGTTTCCCAGGAATAATCTACTTGGAGGAATAATCTGTGAACAAATGAACTAGTATAAAATCCTACTGTTTTATTTTTTTTCTATGATTGTAAATTAATGGCAGAAAAAAATCCTACTGTTTTAATCCTCAGAACTCTGTCTTGGTTACTAAGCAATGTAACCGCCTACTCTACTGTTCCAATATTTCTACTCTATAAACTCTTTTCTTTTTTTTCTTTTACATTCAACCTACTCCCCTCACAAACTAAGAAATGATAGCCACGATATAGAGCACATGCATACCAGGGCTTCCCTCACCAGCTGTTATGCTGTCTTTTACCTCAGTGGCCTGGGTGTCTGAAAATTACCACTTGCACAGGGCCAAATAAGCATGAAGCAGGCAAGCACAGAGAAAGTTTTCTTACTTTGCTTTCCTGAAAGCAAAGAACTACAGAAGAAAGCCAGGAATGTACACATCCCCATAATCCCTACCCAGGTTATCAGCAAAGGAATACAGATGCCTCAGAAGTCTATTCCCCTGAGTGACTATAGAGATACTTACTCAGAGCTAGCTCCATTTGGTTCATCACCATCAGAGGAAGAGGAGTGGGAAGAGTCTGGTCCCAAAGGAGGTGAAGCTTTAGAAGTCAGGTAATTGGGAAACTGGGATGCAGAGGAGTCATAAGAGACAGCCCAGTTGGCAAAGGGGCTGTCTTGCAGCATGGAATCCTCAGAAAAAGCATGGGATTCCCCCAAAGCATGGGGGGAGAAGAGAAAAGATGAGTTGGGTCCCATTGGGAATGGTGGTGGATATTTCATTTTCTGGGGTACTTGGTGAGCAAACTAAAGGACAAAACAGACAGAAAAGCTATTTAACATTTTACCAGGCACCAAGATGGTTCTCTCAAAAGTTGTGACATAGTGGATGATGCCAGTAGCAAGGACTGTTGAGATACAAAGTACCTACTGAGAATAATGAGAAATAGTTCTAATAGTGATATATGAACAGAATCCTCCACAAGCAGGACAATGGATCAGTACAAGTCTCCTAGGACCATTCTCTGACATTAGTGAATCTACCTTCACAATGCCCTGGTGGTTTCTGATTTGGATGCTTTTTTTACACAATCTGCCAGCCTCAAGTTGAAATGTGATGTAGGTATATGCAGCCTTGACAGTCTGATAACAATGAATGAGCCTAACTCCTTAACTTGGGCTATAAAAATCAGGAAGCAACCCAAGACTAATGCTAACAAATAGTTTCAGAAGTATTAAAGGATGCTTACCACTGGCTTGCCAGCAGAAATGGTGCCCATTTGATGTCGTGGAAGGGGAGGATTTCCAAGCCTATTATTCTGAAAACCTGAAGCCAAGAGAAAAGGGCTATACTTCAGTCAATCCTAATAATGCTACCATGTTATATTCTCCTCACCTCATAGCACCTAAAAATTATTATTAATAAATAAGTTACAATTTATCAAATAGCTACTATGTGCCATGCCAGGAGCCTTACATAAATGATTTTATCTGATAACAATCCTATAAAGTCAGTATCATGAGCCATATTTCATACAAATGTAATTTGCCAAGGTCACACAGTTTTCAGGCAGCAGAGGTGGAATTTACACTTTGGCCTGATCCCAAAGACAGGGCTATTTTACATATATCAGGCCAGAATGGAAGTTAGCACCAGAAGTAGCCAAAGTTAAGGAAATGGCATTGCACCCCATCTGTTACCCATTTATCCATATAAATTTGAGAAAGCAGGGACCTTCTTATGTCACCTCTCTTATGACATGAAAATAAAAAGGAGAATGTCTATCAAATAGGACTGACTTTTAGGAGGATACAATATAAGTGATTCCACTCTGGCCCTAGAGTTCCTGAAGAACCAACTCAGATTCCTCTATGAATAGAGCAGCTTGGGGTCAGATGGAAGACTTACCTAGAAAGGAGGGACCCACTGGCAGCGAAGAGAGTTTGGTTGTGACTGAATAGTACTCAACTGCTTTCTTGAATCGCTTTATTTTATCTTCTGTCCTGGACTGGATATTGGAATATCAGATTTTCAGAAGAAGAAACAACATGAGAGTATCTTTTTCATATAACTTATAATTTGGGAGTCAAAATAATATCAGAAATCAAATATTTAAAGAAACACAAGAGAACAAATTTTCACTTTGCAGAAAAGATTAGGTAGGGAAAAGCATTATGAAACGCAAAATACGGAATACTTAAAAAAAAATAAAATTTACTTATATTTCATGCTATTCTGAAATGATCACATGATCATTAGGGATAAGGAAAAAAAACTCACATAGTACCACCATCCAAAGATATTTTGGAATGTTCTCTTACAGTATTATTTTATTTTATTTTATTTTATTTTATTTTATTTTATTTTATTTTTGAGACAGAGTCTCACTTTGTTGCCCAGGCTAGAGTGAGTGCCATGATGTTAGCCTAGCTCACAGCAACCTCAATCTCCTGGGCTTAAGCAATCCTACTGCCTCAGCCTCCCAAGTAGCTGGGACTACAGGCATGGACCACCATGCCCGGCTAATTTTTTCTATACATTTTTAGTAGGCCAATTAATTTCTTTCTATTTATGGTAGAGACGGGGTCTCACTCTTGCTCAGGCTGATTTCAAACTCCTTACCCTGAGCGATCCACCCGCCTTGGCCTCCCAGAGTGCTAGGATTACAGGCGTGAGCCACCACACCCGGCCTACAGTATTATTTTAAATAATTTTTGTTGTTGAAGTATAGCTGGTCTATTTTAATACACATATTTTTCTTTTTTTCTTATCTTATACCTGCAGGAATAATTTACACATATTTTTCTATAGTTGATACCATGCTCTATGTACAATTTAGTACCCTGCTTTCATTATATTAATCTGATCTATCTAAATAATTTTGAATGGCTGCATATTTTATCACTATGAATATATCATATATTATGTAATCATTTCCTTAATATCCAGTTAGGTTATTTCTCATATGTAACTATTATAAGTTATACAGTAAAGTGCATATATTGTTATATAACTTTTTTCTGGATTTTCAGATTATGGTCTTAGGAAAATATCATAAAAATTAAACTATTAGTTCAAAAGATATGAATGTTAAAACCAAAAGCATGTAAATATATATAAAACCACAATGTGACACTACTCTGTGTCCACCAGAATGGCTGAAATAAAAGATTATCAATGACAAACACTGGCAAAGATATGGAATAACTAGAATTCCAATACACTGCTGGTGGGAGTATATATTGGTACAGTTTGGAAAACAGTTTGGCAGTTTCTTATAAAATTAAACATACACTCACCATATAGTATAGCATTCCTACTTCTAAGTATTTCCCCAAGAGAAATGAGTGCATATATCTACCAAAAGATATGAACAAGAATGCTAACAGGAGCTTTATTCATAATAGCCCCACACTGGAAACAACTCAAATATATATCAACAGAAGAATGGATATATTGTAGTATATTCATATAATGGATTACTATACAGTAATTAAAAAGAGCAAAGTATAGCTATACACAATGATATATATAAATCTCAAAGATATTATGCTGAGTGAAGAAGGGAGACACAAAAGTTTACATGTAAAGTTCAGGTAGAGGCAGAACTAATCTATGGCAATAGAAATAAAAATTAATGTTTATCTAGGTGGGGAAAGGGCTGACAGAGAAGGGGTATTTTCACTTACCAAGCGTTTTCCAATGTTATTTAAGAATCTTCTTTTTTTTTTTTAAGAATCTTCTTGAATATAATTTTAAGACCATCATAATAGTTCATCAAATGGAACATAAGATATTAAAGTCATTTCCAATTTCTCATTATAAATAATGCTCTCATAAGCATATTTTTACATAAGTTATTTCATGGGGCAAAGTCTTAGAAGTATAATTACTAGGTCAAAGGGTATGATCATTTTCACACTCTTGAGACATGGTAATAAATCTCTTTCCAAAACAGATGGCTCAAGTTATACTCTCATCATCAATGTATGAGTGTCTAATTCACCATATAGCCCCAGTATTGAGTATTTTCTACAAAAGCAATTACTAACAATATTTATCTTTTACTAAAAATTAGAATATATAATAAAAAAGAAAATTTTAAAACATTTATAATGTTATCTCCCATAGATTGTGACTGTTAACACCCCAGGACCTATATAGCATTCTATATCTCTTTATTTGCATGCGTGCACATACACTAACACAGGAATCGGGATCTTCAGGTCCTCCAGTCTAACTTAAAAACAAAATCACTCTACTTTTTCCAAAAAATTGGATTTGATACTACTGTTTGAAAAAACGGTTCCAAATCTAAAGCATATCTGCAAATTACTGACTTGGATAATGACATCTATGTGGTTGAATAACATTCCATTGTATAAATGTTCCATTTATTTATTCATTATTATCTCCTTATTATATTTAATAACACACATAATAACTGAAAACAATCTTCTAAAACACATAAACCATAAATGGAGTCTCCCTTAATATCTCTGTATTTGCATCCATTCTCCTCCACAGAAATGACTAATGTTACCAGTTTGATAGATGTTCTTTTATAAATTTTGTCATGTGTTTATAAACACACACACACACACACACACACACACACACATATATATGGACACCAATATGGTTTTGTTTTTTCACATACATGGAATCATATGATTATATTTTTCTTTGTCTTGCTTTTTGTACTTAACAATATGTTTGGTAGATTATTTAATGCCAATAAGTACAGATCTATGCCCCAGTCTCTTGAAATACTGAATTACATAAACTTCCCTCAATGTACCCCTCTGTCCTATGCCCTGAAAGGGAAACACTTACTCTTCCTTCAAGGGGCACCACTTTTGTGAAACCTTTCCTTTTTTTTTTTTTTTTTTGAGGCAGAGTCTCACTTGTTGCCAAGGCTAGAGTGAGTGCCGTGGCATCAGCCTAGCTCACAGCAACCTCAAACTCCTGGGCTCAAGCAATCCTGCTGCCTCAGCCTCCCGAGTAGCTGGGACTACAGGCATGCGCCACCATGCCCAGCTAATTTTATATATATAATTTTTTTAGTTGTCCAACTAATTTCTTTGTATTTTTTTAGTAGAGACAGGTCTCACTCTTGCTCAGCCTGGTCTTGAACTCCTAAGCTCAAATGATCCGCCCCGCCCGCCTTGGCCTCCCAGAGTGCTAGGATTACAGGCATGAGCCACCGCGCCTGGGCTGTGAAACCTTTCCTGACCACCCTTTCGTGCTTGATCCTCAGTGTTTTCTCTTTATTGTAATTATTTGCTTCTGCCTCCCCATTTAATGTCAAGTTCTGTGAGGAAAGAGAATGGTTTATTCACTTTTATATTCTAGTGCATATCACGGGACCTTTCAAATAGAAATTCATTCAGTATTTGCTGTATGATGGTATTTAATTAAGTCCTACTCTTTCTTTTAGAGATGCATAGAGGCCTCAGGTAGCAGATTAGAACCCTTCACTTTGACACTATTAACTAAAAGTTCTTATATCATGTTTTCTTAGGAGAGCTCTCCTCATAATTCCACAGCTGTCAAAAATGATTTAATTATATTCTTCATTAAATCATTTTTAATGAAGAATTAATTATATTCTTCATTAATGTATTTTTTAAAATGTATTTGCAACAAGCATAGAGGGATTATGAAATATACATGTTGCCTCTGCCTGTGGATGAATTACCTATATAGAGAGAATTACCTTTACCTATACAAAGAGAAAGTAGAATAATTTATACCTCAACAGGTTTACTTCCTTACCAAGTACCTTAGATATAACAAGAATCAATAACTCCAGCCTGGTTTTAAAACTTTTTACCTCTCCCATTGACCCTACTTTTCACTAAAACTCTGTATTTTCTTTCATTAGTCCCCATACTCTAATTCTTTTTCTTAAACTGTGTCAAAATACATAAAGACACTAAATGACTAATAGGAAAAAAAGAAAAAGAAAAATAGTAAGTACATACATCCCTATATTTTATGATTTATATGCAGCATCATAAGTATAAAAATAAGCAGAATTATAAAGTGAATACATTTTTAAATGAAATTATTATATTCAGGTATGATCCTGGATAGGGGTAGATGATAGTTACTAATGAATTATAAAAATCAGTTTTGTTACTATGCATTGAGTAACTATCTAACCTCTCTCATTTTAAATCAGTGTTATCAACTCAGTCTATACCAGCCACAGCTTATAGATGAAATTAAAGACCTATAATTAATAACAATATAATAAAATCTCATGGGAAAAGTCAAGGTTTGGACAAACATGAAGAAACTTCTTCACATTGATAAACTCAGAGATGACTATTTGAGAAATAAGAGTACAGTCCATAGTGGTCTTACAATTGAACCTGAATTCAACTAGTGAAAGGATTTTATTTTATTTATTTATTTCTGGAATGTTAATCAGCTTGACTTAATCATTCCACTTTGTATACATATATCAAAACATCACATTGTACCCCATAATGTATACAATTATGGTTTCTCAATAAAAAATAATATTAATAAGCCAGGCGTGATGGCTCATGCCTATAATCTTAGCACTCTGGGAGGCCGAGGCGGGCAGATCATTTGAGCTCAGGAGATAAAGACCAGCCTGAGCAACAGCGAGACACCGTCTCTACCAAAAATAGAAAAAAAAAAATTAGCCAGGCATGATGGCACATGCCTGTAGTCCCAGCTACTCGGGAGGTTCAGGCAGAAGGATCGCTTGAGCCCAGGAATTCGAGGTTGCTGTGAGCTAGGCTGACACCATGGCACTCTAGCTGGGGCAACAGAGTGAGACTCTATCTCAAAAAAAATAAAGAAAGAAAAGAAAAGAAAAATAATATTATTAATCAATTGTTTAAATACTCTTGCAAGTAAAAAATGATTTAATGAAGATTATACAGCAATAATGAAAAATGGTTTATGTAGGGGACTGACATATATTTTCCTAGTTTAAGAATTAAATTTAGTGAGTAATGTACGTGTTCT